CCCTACTGTGTAACCATGAATATACACACTGGATGAAATAATTGCAGGCAGGGATAATCTCTAAAAATATTTAAGATTTTTAATAATATCTGTTGTACAAAAGGGATATATATAGTAGTAATATATAATAAAATGTTAATATATATTAACATATGATAAAGATATGACTATTCCTTTTAAAATATGACATAAATTCTGAGTATTAAGTAAAAAGAAACACTGAATTGAGTTCCACCATGTAAAGGAGAGACTGTAAAGAATGAAACTTTATTTCTAATTTCCTGTTTTTTCTTTTAAAAACATATATTGTAAGGAAATGAAAGACAAAGTGTGAATAAAATGTTATGTAATAATATGCATTTACATGTTATAATTCTTGAGAGTGATGATGTACCTATATTCTAAAAAAATCCTGCAAAGTCCAAAAATAAACTCTTGAAATATCCATGTTTAATCATAATTGCATCTATTAGTAAAATAATTTTTTGTAAGTGCAGAATGTGAGGTGCCTTTCTGTTCACTATTCTTATAGAGAAAGTAGCCCAAACATTACTAAAACATATTCAGAGTTGTGCTGATAATTTCTTATTGAATCTGAATCATATAAGAACAAAGGACACCTTGTGCTCTGGACAAAGATAATTAGGTGTAAACTGTTCATTCACACTTCAACAGATAAAAGAAGCCTCTGGTTTCTAGGGCAAATTCAGTCTTTTTTAGAAAGTTTACCCCAAAGCCCCTAATCAAAAAGCTATAAAAACTGTCTGACTGCCCTCATACCAGTATGCTTGCTTTGTTCACCAAATTACATGTTTGTCAATGACTACCGCTGAAATTCAGCAAGAACTCAGTGACTTCAGTGAGACTACTACTAATTGTTGCCTCCTCCATTGTGCACCCTCCTTGAGTATAGGACACTTGAGTACAGGACCCCTCTACTGCAGATGCCTAGCATAACGCCTAGTTCATTTCCTTTCTTTCTTCTTCTTTTTTTAAATGAGAACATTTATGGTCTACTGTCTTAGCAAATTTCAACCATGTAATACAGGGTTATCAACTATAGTCTCCATGTCTTACATTAGGTCCTCAGACTTTATTCACCTTATGCTGAAAGTCTGTACCCTTTTACCAACCTTCCCCTATTTCTTCCACTCCCAGAACCTGGCAACCAATTTTCTACACTGTTTCTATCAGTTCGACTTAACGGGTTTTTGTTTTTTGTTTTTAGATTCCACATATAAGTGATACCACACAGTATTTGCCTTTCTCTGTTTGACTTCTTTTACTCAGCACTATGCTCTCAAAGTCATCCATGTTGTCACAAATGGCAGGATTTCCTTTTCTCTTGTGGCTGAGTAATACTCATACATATATAATCATCAGGGAAATGCAAATCAAAAACCACAATGAGCTATTACCTCACATCTGCTAGAATAGCTATCATCTAACAGACAAGAGATAAGTGTTGGTGAGAATGTGGAGAAAAGGGAGCCCTTGTTGGGGAATGTAGACTGGTTCAGCCATCACGGAAAACAGTATGGGGGGTTTCTCAAAAAATTAAAAACAAAAGTACCATATGATCTAGCAATTCCACTCCTGGGTATTTAGGTGGAAAATTTGAAAATACTAACTCAAAAAAGATACATGTAACCCTATGTTTACTGCAGCATTATTTACAATAGCTAAGATATGGAAACAACCTAAGTGTCCATCAATAGATGGATAAAGAACATGTGGTGTATGTATATAATATATATATATACCATACAATCTGACTTCTATATGGGATCTAAAAACCAAACCAAAACAAAAAAATCAACTCAAAAATACAGAGAAAAGATTGGCGGTTGCCAGAGGGGGAGGGGGTGTGCAGCAAAATGGGTGAAGAGAATCAAAAGGAACAAACTTTCAGTTATAAAATTGTTGGGTAAGTTACAGAATTTCCAGAATCTCCTGCCTGGCCTTAGTTCATTTACATATCAATAGGTGTTTACCACTGCAGCTTCCCGAAGCCTCCCGGGCAAGGCGCAGAGAGACAACACCATTCTAACCTCCCCTCCATTCCTGGTATCTAACTGGTCTGACATCTGCCAGTCACCAAGGACCCGCCAACGGGGTTCCTCCTGGAAGGAACTAAGTAAGTAGAGACCGCAAGGAAGTAGAGAAGTAAGCAAGAAGTGGAGACCGTGCCATGGCTCCAGAGTGAGAGCGTCAGGTGGAGGAGACAGACGGTGCTGGTAGTCTAGCTAGCAAATCTGATCAAGCTGTGAGCAATAAAAAGCCTTTCTCCCAATTCACTCTTTCCCTAGACTGTTTTCAGTTTCACTGGTTTATTCACCCTAGTCCAGGAACACCCTTTCCCCTGGAGCTACAAAAATAAATTAGTTATGGGAAATGTATTAATGTACAGCATGGCAACTATAGCTAAAATACTGTATTACATATTTGAAAGTTGCTAAGAGAGTCAATGTAAAAAGTTCTTATCACAAGAAAAATAATCCTGTAACTATGCATAGTGACAATGTTAACTAGACTTTATTGTGGTGATTGTTTCACAATATATACAAATACTGCATCATTATTTTGTATATCTGAAATTAATATTTCAGTTATACCTCAATAAAAAAGCAAAAAAATAAATATGAAAATATTATATAAATATACCATTTTTAAGCATAAAGGTTCAAAAACATGTATACTTCAAAAGCAAAAACGAGCCTACTTCAGTACATCAAATGATAAACTAGTGTAAATTTAGCATTGAGTATTTTAAAATTTTAGTCCAGACAAGAAAGAAAATTTTAATGCCACAGTGACAGTTTTGACTTTGTGTTGCTTCTTAATAAATAATCCTTAATTCAGAAAATAAAGAAAAAGAAAACACAACCCTTGTCAAAAAATACTAGAAAAGAACAGTGAACCTCATTCACAACAACAAAGCAGAACAGATGACAGGAAGGCCAAAGGCAGCTCAGGTCAAACTGAATGCAGGAGAATGTGGGGAAAGAGTGCCCCCAGCTGCACATCCCTGACAGTGCTGCTCGAATACACTTCTCCAAGTAAGTGTCTCATTCTGAGATACCGAACCAAAAAGTATTTGTTTACAATAAGGGAGAAAGAGTAAGAGGGCAGGCAGTGAGAGCCTTCATATATTTCATTCGGTAGAAGGCAAGGATAAATGGAAAAAATAAAACACAGATACGTCATTTTTGAACATTGCTTCTATTCCTGGATGTTTGTTACTCAAATATTCATTTGTGATCGTTGATTGTATATTTATGTTTGGTGCATTTTTCTGATGATATACCCCAATAAAAATAATTGATAAGGGAGACTGACTTCTATAACCTGAAGAAAGAAACTGCACCTTCTGCTCCAGTTATTATGATAACGTAATGAATTACTCTAAATAACTCTTTGTATTTCATCATCTTCTGTGAGAAGGACCCAAATCTGGGGGCAGGTATAATCTGAAGACATGTTCACTGTTGGCAGTTGATGCTGGTTCATAACCAGTTAGAAGATACTTTACAGACACTTCAATTACAAGAGCAACAGGAGAACACAAAAGAAAGAGGAATGTGAAAGATACCTATGAAAGTTTTAAAGCTCTACTGTGGACATACATCAATAGAAAATACAAACTACATTTCTGAGTTTCTGAGTTTAAAAAAAAATACTGAAAAATACAGATGTTAATTTTTCCTTTGTCAATTTACAATTTTAATGTGATTCAAATAAAATAAACACAGCTTTTTTTTTCCTAGTAAAGAAATCTGATTCTAAGGCAAATTACATTGCTCTTCCACAAATTTTTATTGGATTCAGATCACCTTTGCCACCTCCACAGCTGGCCCAACCTCATCATTATCTCTCATCTGGGCTACCGGAATAGCCTACCTGTACTGCTTGCTTCCACTCTTGCTCTCCTCTCCCACATTCCCATCCCATCTGTTAACCTATTCCCTAAAATAGTGTTCCTTTGAAAGCATCAGTTAGCTCCCCTCCCATCATTCACCTGCTCCAATGGCTTTCCTACATACTTAGAGTATAATCCAAAATTATTTACGTATTCTGCAAGGCATTCTAGAACCTGGATCTCTCTCTGACTACATTTCCTACCAAATTGCCCTAATTATTCACTTTTCTATTTTAATTAATTTTTTCTTTTGCTCCAATCATGTTCTTCAAATATGTATTTCAAGCTCCTGCCTATCAGCCTTTGCACTCATTCTTTCATCTCCCAGCAATGGTGTTCTTACTCTGGAATCACATTCATTCCACTCTAATCTCAAATGTCACCTCCTCAGAGAGAAATTGTCATTGGAAATACTATATAAAATATTGGTATTTATTTATACTGCTTTATTTTCTTCATATCATAGATTGATTTTCTGGGGGTTTGTCTTTCTTCTCCACAAGGGAATAATTTCCATGAAGACAGAAACTCTTTTTCCTGAACACTTAGAATATCTGACATATAGCAAATGCTCAATACATATTGAAATGAATGAGCCAAGTCAGAATCATTCCAAGAATTAGCATATCATAAAAACAACAATATAACCCTATGATATGATAACATAAAGGGTTCAAACAATGGAATATACTAGAAGGACCATAAATTTATCAAATACAAACGCAATTTAGTATAAAAGAGAGGACACATTTCAAATTAGTTGAAGGGTTGGTTCATAATTATTGGTGTTTCAACAACTGAACAACCACTGAAAAATGAAAATAAATCTTTACCTCTTTACCTTACCCCTTAAAGCAAAATTAACTCTGAATGAATTAAGTATTTAAATATTAAAAAGGAAACCTGGAAAAACCAGAAAACCCATGGTAGGATTTTTGAAGTTTCCTTAGAAATGGGATAAGTTATAAATATGACACAAAGCTCAGAAACCATTTTTTTAAATGTTGAAAAATTTGACTATAAACAGTTTTAAAAACCTCTTTATTTTAAAAATCACTTTTAAAAGATCAAAGGAGGCAAAAACATTTGCAATTCATATCAAACATGAATTACAAATTTTGTCAATATGAGTTCCTAAAAATAGCTAAGAAAACAACCCAGTACAAAAATGAGCAAGGTACGTGACTAGAGATCACAACTGAATTCTTAAATATGTGATTCTTAAAATAATACACTGAGAAAATGCAATTCAATTAACAATGACATGTTATTTGCCTATTTCATGGGCAAGCATTAAAAAAAAAAAATGATACCACACTGTGTTAGAGAGGATAGGTCTAGACTATCAGGCATTCTTACACATACTGTAATGACTTCTATGAAGAATGCATTAGTTATCCAATGCTACATAACAAATTACTCCAAAACTTAGAGGCTTAAAACAACAATAAACATTTATCTTTTCTGACAATCTCTCTGTATCAGAAATTTGGGAGCAACTTAGGCTGGGCAGTTCTGGCTCGGGGTCCCTTCTGAGGCTGCAACCAGGATGTTAGGGCTGCAGTCATTTTAAGTCTTGACTAGGGCTGGATGATCCACTTTTAAAAGTGGCTCACACCTGGTTAGCAAGTTGATGCTTGTTGTTGGTAGGAATCCTCAGTTCCTCCACATGTAAGCATCTCCCAGAGCTGCTTGATTACCCTCATGACATGACAGCTGGATTCCCCTAGAGCCAGAGATCCCAAAGTAAGCAAGGTGGAAGCTGTGATGTCTCTTCTGACCTATCTCTGTAATCATTTTCTCAATATCCTATTGGTCACATAGGTCAACACTGTTCAGTGCAGGAGGGGGCTACACTGGAGCATATATCTCAGGAGACAAGGATAATTAGGGGTCATCTTGGAGGCTGGCTACCACAGGGGACAGACAATTTGGAAAATATTTTTCCAAGTGAAAATTTCACATAGATTCCAAAACTGAAATTCCACTTGTAGTTATCCTTCAGATATATAAAAGAAATATTCATGCATTTTTAGCAATTACAGAAAATTGAAGTAATCTAAATGTTTATCAATAGGCCTAATTAAATAAATTATAATGCATCCATACAATGTAATATATGTAGGAACAGGATACCTCAGGTAGGATCCACAAGAAAATAGAAGTATTATTGCCTTGGGGAAAAGGAAGTGGTGATCAGCAATGGAAGAAGGAGAAATCTATTTTTCAATGAGTACTGTACCCTTTCTGTACCCTCTGTATTTTGCAACCATGTAAAGAATTATCTATCTCCTTTGAGAAAGTAGATAAAAACACTTAACTGCTGTAAGATTTGCAAAACTACTTATTCCCAAAGGAAAGGTGAATTGGGATCCACTGAACCTTTATGGTCTTTTATTTTGTCTGTTATATATTAATCAGTTTACTACAGGAGCATCATTATTTGGACTCCCAACTCAATTCTTCTCTAAGATGTCAAACTTCATGAATATACTGATTACACAGCTCATTTTGTATCCCCAAATATTGCTAAGCACAATATTAAGCAACAGAAAGTACTCAATGCATATTTGTTTAAATCAGGGTTTCTTAACCTCAGCACTATTATTAATTTGGGCCAAATAATTTTTTCTTATGAGGGGCTGCCCTGTGCATTCTAAGATATTTAGCAGCATGCCTGGACTCTTCCTACTAGATGCCAGTAGCACTTTATGTCATGACTAATATAAATGTCTCCAGCCATTGCCAAATAGTGCTTGAAGGGGAGAAATCACCCTCAGTTGAGAACCACTGGTTTAAAGTAATAACATCCAATCTTGAGGAGTGGCTACAGAATTTAAAATACATTTTAAGCAAGATTTAGTATACATTTTCTACTACAATATAATAATTTGGTATGTACTACTGTAAGTGTATAAACAGTTAGAATATATGTTATATACCATAAACAAAGACTAATCTTTAATACTTTTGTCATTATTTATTATTCTTAATTGTTCTTTGTTATTTTATATCCAGAATTGACCTTGCATAGGAAGGTGAAGAATTCAGAATCCCTCATTTGGGGGATGGTCTATATGTGAGATACATCATTTTCTTCCCTCTTCTTTTCTTCATGACTATAATGATAGTAAAAATTGATTATCAGTACACTAAGGGTTATGATTTGGAATTAATATTACAATCTTTAATGCAGATCACTTCATCAGATAGGGATTAAACTATATAAAGATTAATTACACTAGCCAAAGAGTTAATTCTGGATGATTTCTTTCAATTGATAACCAATGGTTTACAAACAAGAAATTATCATCTGTGAAACTGGATAAAAGCCTTACAGTGAGAATGATAGTAACACCAAGAATATCTAAGATAGATCATTATCTTATCTCACAAACAATACTGGGAAGAGAAGAATTTCATAACATATGGGTATAGGAATTAACAAATCTCTCCCTTCCCTTAAGATTGTCATTTTGTCATTGAAAGTCTGTAGTATTAAGAGCATTTCCCATCTTTTCTACTCAATTCATTTTCCCCTTTTGTGTTTATTTCACCAAAAGGAGGAGGAAGAAAAGAAAAAAGGCAGGAAGGGGCAATGAGAGGAGGGAAGGACTGAGGAAAGAGAAAGGGAGTAAAGGAGGAAAGAAGGAAGTTTCTCTGCGACAGAATAAAAGTGCCACAGATTTCTAGTCTATGAGATTAAAAAAAAACTAGTGGCCAAATTTTACCTCTTCTTTTCCTTTAATTCCACCAAAATACAATGTAGCCAACACCTATAAAGCCCATCTTGAAAAATACTTGAGAAATTTAGTTAAAACTACATGTTCATTCATTTCCATATTGTAATCTTTTAAATGTGAAAAAAATATAAAGAACCACTATAGACAGACTTCCTGGTGTTGTGCAGCCTAACTTGCAATGATATTTTTATCAAAACTAAAAATTCCTGATTCAATTGTAAAACATTTGTTTGCATTGTTTTCTCTTATCTGTCTTAATACTTAAATATCTGCCACCGAATTCCAATGGTTTTATACATCTACCAAGAACTCTAGGTAGGTAAAAGAGAGCTAAAGGTACTTATTCAAATTTAAAATTTATGTATTTATCTCAATCCTAATCTGGCTAGGGTATAAGATAGAAGCATTGGATATGGTTTTTCATACTGACTGCATTTTGTTGGCAGCATCGCTATATAACAGTCCACCCAGTTAAAACAACACATAAACAAAGAGTGAGGTATCAAGTTATTCCTTGTTTTATATTCATGGAGAATATGATTATAGCATCTTGTTATATATTATTTATTTATTTAGAAAGCTACCAATTTTACAGCTAGGCTGTTTATAAAACAAGAAGCCATTATGGAATCATTCTTTGAAGGTAGGTCTCTTGTATAATAACTAGAAATTATAACTTCTGAAATCCACAGTTCAGAAGTACAAATGACTGCTCATTCATCAGGATTAAAGACAAAATAATTAATCAAGAACTAACATGCTTTGTGTTTGTGTGCTTTCAGGCAGAAATATTACATCTTTGCAAGACAAATGTTATTTCACAATAAATAATAATATCTATAACATGACTACCCTCAGATGAATTGCTCTTAGAATTCTGACAAAGCTAAGCATAATATTGATGAAGTAAATCTAAGGTTTGTATGCCAATTTATCTTTTTTCCAAGGAAAAAAACTGGCATATAGTATTATTCATGGTCTCTTCAAGGAAAATACCCAGTATGTTAAACATTTATTTTCCATTTTAATTTCTTATGTTGAGCAAAACAAAAGAAACTGAAATTTCATATGGTTCAACCTAATTGTATGAGCAAGAAAAACTAACAAACTGAAATAAGAGACAGAAAGAAAATGTAAAGGAGAATCCTGGTTCAGCAAATATAGACAATTCTCTTTAGTTATATTACATTCAAATTACTTTAAAAACAACTTGTAAAAATCCCAAAAAAATTAATGTCCCAGTGCTCTGTACTTACATAAAGTAATATAAGGCTTAAACAATCAATGCACATGTGACCGGTAAATTTTGCACTTTAACGTCGTGTCATAATCATGAATCTAATGGATGAGAGATTAACAAATTAAAACATTCTACTCAACACTGAATAAATATAATGAATGCATAATTCTGATTGTAATTTACAGAAATTAACAATATATTATCACAAGAAGAAATTCCTTATTTTCCTTTAAAAGTTGACAATGGCAGGTCTTTATCACCCTTTCTTGACTTAGCTTTTAAAATCATATTGTAGGGACTAAATGATGGTCTGTGTCTGGCTACAAACCTTGTAGGGAGCTATTTGGCATAAGCTATTAAGAATGTGAATGTCTATAATGGTTTCTAAATTATGAATCAACTATAAAACTGATATATTTTGAAGGATATAAAGGTCAATTACTTAAGGTGATTTAGAACTAATACTGATCTGAGAAGAACAAAAATGATGAAAACACCATTGATCTCAGCTTCCTTTTGATAACATAAAATTGGCACTATTTCCAGACCAAGTGAAATATAATCAGGCAACTTCAGAAATATTGTCTAGGTTAAGACACTTACAGTACAGAACTTCGAAGTATTCAAAACCCTTAGTGTTGAGTGTAAGACATTATTCAATACAAACATCACTGACAACACTTTCTATTTGAGTACTGAATTCTGGGTACTCCTTTAAGGTGCAGAATTATCTGGTAATTTAGGTTGAGAGAATAACTCAGAGGTTTCTTGCTCTGGCAAGTAGTATCACATTTTAGTTGCCACGTAATACAGTGCTGTTAATTATACTGTATCCTAGATCCCCAGAACATATTCATCTCATATCTGGAAGTCTGTATCCTTTGACCAACATCCTCACAAACCCTCCATCCTTTCAGCCCCTTGCAAATACCATTCTATCCTCTATTTCTGTTTTGGCTGTTTTCCACATATAAGGGAGACATCTTCCCAAAACCTCCTCCCCTCCAGCCCCAACAAACACCATTCTACTTTTTTTTTCTAGGAGTTCAGCTTTTTTGGATTCACATGTGAGAACATACAGTATTTTTCTTTCTCTCTTTTTTAATTTCAAGTAGCATAATACCCAGAAGGTCCATCCATGTCGCCACATTTTCTTTATCCATTCATTCATCGATGCACACTTAGGTTATTTCTGTTTTGGCTACCATGAATAAATCGGTCAATGAACATGGGACTGCAGAAAGCTGTTTGATATCCTGGAGCTGGCAGTCACTGGGGGGAGTCAAGGACCTGGAATCCTCACCCGGTCTACTTAGCTCTTGTGAAGATATTTCCAGTTATGGTGAGTTATTCAAATTGCTGTTTCTGGGAGAAGGGTACTTGAAATTCCTACACTGCCCTTGCTGACATCCCTCCCTGGTTCAGGAATGTTTCAAACTAAAGCTTATATTATATTTCTAATTATAAGACTTCCATTTTCATTTCAAGAATTTCAAAATTTTGGTAAAGTAAAATGAAGAATTATAAAGGCATCAGAAATCTCACTACTTTTGTTTCTAGGTTTTTAGGTTGAATTACCAGATACTGTCTTTAGTGTTTAAAATGAAAATTCAAGTTAATTGGTTAGAATTTCACACACAAAAAAGAAACTTTTCATGAATGCATAATTCTGATTGTAATTTACAGAAATTAACAATATATTATCACAAGAAGAAATTCCTTATTTTCCTTTAAAAGTTGACAATGGCAGGTCTTTATCACCCTTTCTTGACTTAGCTTTTAAAATCATATTGTAGGGACTAAATGATGGTCTGTGTCTGGCTACAAACCTTGTAGGGAGCTATTTGGCATAAGCTATTAAGAATGTGAATGTCTATAATGGTTTCTAAATTATGAATCAACTATAAAACTGATATATTTTGAAGGATATAAAGGTCAATTACTTAAGGTGATTTAGAACTAATACTGATCTGAGAAGAACAAAAATGATGAAAACACCATTGATCTCAGCTTCCTTTTGATAACATAAAATTGGCACTATTTCCAGACCAAGTGAAATATAATCAGGCAACTTCAGAAATATTGTCTAGGTTAAGACACTTACAGTACAGAACTTCGAAGTATTCAAAACCCTTAGTGTTGAGTGTAAGACATTATTCAATACAAACATCACTGACAACACTTTCTATTTGAGTACTGAATTCTGGGTACTCCTTTAAGGTGCAGAATTATCTGGTAATTTAGGTTGAGAGAATAACTCAGAGGTTTCTTGCTCTGGCAAGTAGTATCACATTTTAGTTGCCACGTAATACAGTGCTGTTAATTATACTGTATCCTAGATCCCCAGAACATATTCATCTCATATCTGGAAGTCTGTATCCTTTGACCAACATCCTCACAAACCCTCCATCCTTTCAGCCCCTTGCAAATACCATTCTATCCTCTATTTCTGTTTTGGCTGTTTTCCACATATAAGGGAGACATCTTCCCAAAACCTCCTCCCCTCCAGCCCCAACAAACACCATTCTACTTTTTTTTTCTAGGAGTTCAGCTTTTTTGGATTCACATGTGAGAACATACAGTATTTTTCTTTCTCTCTTTTTTAATTTCAAGTAGCATAATACCCAGAAGGTCCATCCATGTCGCCACATTTTCTTTATCCATTCATTCATCGATGCACACTTAGGTTATTTCTGTTTTGGCTACCATGAATAAATCGGTCAATGAACATGGGACTGCAGACAGCTGTTTGATATCCTGGAGCTGGCAGTCACTGGGGGGAGTCAAGGACCTGGAATCCTCACCCGGTCTACTTAGCTCTTGTGAAGATATTTCCAGTTATGGTGAGTTATTCAAATTGCTGTTTCTGGGAGAAGGGTACTTGAAATTCCTACACTGCCCTTGCTGACATCCCTCCCTGGTTCAGGAATGTTTCAAACTAAAGCTTATATTATATTTCTAATTATAAGACTTCCATTTTCATTTCAAGAATTTCAAAATTTTGGTAAAGTAAAATGAAGAATTATAAAGGCATCAGAAATCTCACTACTTTTGTTTCTAGGTTTTTAGGTTGAATTACCAGATACTGTCTTTAGTGTTTAAAATGAAAATTCAAGTTAATTGGTTAGAATTTCACACACAAAAAAGAAACTTTTCATGAAAATGAATTAATGTACTGTTTCCACTTCAAATAATTTCTAGGTAGACAAAGTTTGAGACAATCCTCCTAGTTCATTAAATGTAACATCTTTATTCCAAAGGAACTAAAAGAATATGAACTGTTAGTTTGGGTATATGACAGTTTATAATAAGAATTTTTTTTTTAGATCTTTATTTCAAAAAATGAAGAAGGATTAGTCTACCAACCCATATATCCTCTGCCACTCTCTTTGGCCAAAAGTTGTTCCCTTTCTTGAGATAAGTTGCTTTGATCTCTGCTTCACACCACCATCTGCCTTCTCCATAGACCAGTGTCCTCTCTTTCATCATCCAATTCTGCGAGGTTGCCCTGAAAGGATGACCTCAGCGCCTGTTCCTTATAACATCCCACCTTGGCACCCACAACTAAGGAAATCAACTGTTACTGCTTATGCCAAGTCTAAAGCCTTCCACCACTCCCTGTCTGAAGAGAAAATTGAGATGATCCAACTAGAATCACATATTTACTTCTGGGCCATATCAGTGAGGGCAGCAGGAAAAGCCTTCTTGGTCGTGTCCACCTGCCCTTTCCTGTACTGTGCGCAAGGGGAAAATTCTCATAGAAGATGTGGGCACAGACCAATCACATCACTAGTAGAACTTCATAGCATCACAGTGATCCTCAAAGAGATGGGGCCGTGATATTAGCCAAGTCTTCCTGCTAAGTAGATTATCTATTCTTTAACCCCTTCAGAAGATCAGACTATTACTGTGTTTTGCTAGTATTCACCATTCTGAATGATCTAGTGTATTTTATTAAAGGAAACTGATCATTTTGTTTATGGGTTAAGGAGGAAAAAATATAGCCATCTCCCTACCTGGTATGTACACATTATTCTTACACTTAAGGAAGATAAAAAATAGCATGACAGAGAACATCAGTTTCCTCACACAGATTTTAAAAACTTTAATGAAAAGTCTGTCCAGATGTGTAGTGTACAATGACAAATGTGATGTTTTATGAACTTGACATTCTTAAAAAATATGCCTTGTAGCAGAAAACTGACATCCAGTACTTTGGTGTAAGTGAATTAGCCAAAAAATATAAAAATGAAAAAGTATCTTTCTACATTCTTTCAGGTGCATAGCAGACAAATGTGAGGGTGTTTGCCAAGCCTATGGCTTTCTTCCCAGGTCACTACACTACCATTCCCTCCACCCACATAGAAGTGGGTCTTACCAGTATGATTATTACTCTACTTACCCTGACTTCTTCCTGGCTACATTTATTTAGTTCACAGGCAGACATTTCACCTAAGCTTGCAATATTTCCAGAATCTCACCTGGCCTTAGTTCATCTCCATCTCAACACGTGTTCCCAAGGGGTGGAGAGAAGTAGCCATCTCCCTATCAATAGGTGTTTATAAGGGGGTGTGCATAGCAAGTGAGTACACACCTGGGCTGGAGAGGTTTGGTGGGACCTACACAACTGGGCTGCAAGAGACACTGATGAGCAGGAATAGATGACTGCTTGTAAGCAGTAAACGAGTTTCTCCCACTTTATTTCTCCCTTTGACTGATATGCCCTCACTCCCTCTTGTAATTACCTATTGATATGGAGATGGACTACTTCTCTCCACCCCTTGGAAACACCTATTGAAGTGGAGATGAACTAAGGCCAGGTAAGAGAATCTGAAGGTACTGTAATTTTACCCACAGTGTCATTAAACAAATGGAATTCAGGGGCATAATTTGGTTTCCAAAGATCTACAAAATAATTTGTGGTACCTTTTAAGATAAAACAAAAAACCTGTAAAAACAGCAGAAACTGTAAAGATAATTTAAGACAGATGTTACCAGAAATAAAGACTAAAATATTAATATTTCTATTTTTGTCAATGTCTAAGATATTATATTAAAACATATTCACCTTTGTTCTCATCATTAATTCCTAAACATG